CATTTGCCTTGTTCTTCAGAGGGCAAAAGAATAGTGAACACCATTCTTGATAGCGGCCTCCAGAGACCCAGCTAAGTCAGTGCATCTTTCAGAAGTGTTAAAAACCATGTGGACCTTTGGTGTTCAAGATGAATATGGAAGCTTCAGTACTGTTTGTCTCTCCTTCCTCTCCCTTTTTCAGTCTCTCTTCACACACACACAAACACACACACAAAGGGGGCGGGGGTAGATCCAAATATGTTTGTACAAAGACTCAGATCCCAAGAGGCTCCTGTGGGAAGAAAGTGGAAGGAGAGCTTTGCTATTTCCCTTTCCTCCCATTCCCACCAGAGATGCAATTTAGAACAGCATGGAAGGATATGCTAGGAAATGCAGAGGGCAGAATGAATTGGTAAAAATTGTTTCCCCTTTCTACCAGAAAGATATCCCATAAGGTTGACTCTACTCATGGAAAAAGAGCATCTTCTCCCCTGTATCCTACCTGAGACCTCAAGATTGTGGGGTTCTATTTTTGCTTGGAGTTTGCTTTGTTGCAATCCAAGACATGCTGTTCATGGTACCGATTATGGCCTTCACGTCATACTGATGTACAATTAGACTGAGTCATAGAAGTTTATCCTTTTGAGATACACGATGCCGTATCATGAAAATTCATAGAATACTAGAGTAGGAAGGGGCCAGAAGGCCATCAATTCTACACCCTGTTATTGCAGGACACTGAGTTACACCATCCCATTCAGATGACTGTCCAAACCCTTTTTGAATGTGTCTAGTGAGGGTGCAGGTGACAGGTTCCATTGTTGCACTGTTCTGACAGTGAAGAAATTCTTCCTGGTGTCTGGTCTAAATCTGGTTTCTTTTAACTTGTGTTCAGTATTCTGTGTCCTGCACTCTGAAAGGAATGAGAAGAGATTGTGTCCTTCCTCTTTGTGACAGCCTTTGACGTACTTGTAGCATCTTATCATATGTCACCTCAGTCTTCTCTTCCTGAACCTGAACACATCCAATCTTTCATCATAGGACTTTGCCTCCATTCCCTGAATCATCCTCGCTGCCCTGCTCTATACCTTTTCTAGCTTTTCTGCATCTTTTTAAAATGTAGCTGCCCAGAACTGGACACAGTTCTCCAGGTGAGGTCTGACTAGTGCTGAGTATAGTGGAACTAGTGCTTCACTTGTTTTGGAAGTGATGTTTCTGTTAATGCGGCCCAAAGAAGTGTTTGCCCTTTTTGCAGCTGCATCACATGGTTGGCTCATATTTAGCTTGGGATCTACAACAACCACAAGTTCCTTCTCATTTGCAGTACTGTTGAGACAAGTGTTCCCCATCTTGTAGCAGTGCATTTGATTTCTTGTTTCTAAGTGGAGGACTTGGCATTTGTTGCTACTGAATTTAATTCTGTGCTCTCTGCCCACCCTTCTAACCTTTTGAGATCACCTGGTATCTTATCTTTGTCTTCCAGAGTGTTTGCTATTCCACCGCGCTTTGTGTCATCTGTACTGTGTTATTATCTGTGTTTCTCTCTCTCTCTCTCTCTCTCTCTCTCTCTCTCTCTCTCTCTCTCTCTCTCTCTCTCTCTCTCGGTGAGAGATAGGTTATGGCTTTATTGTTTACTAGTTGTACCCCACTTTGGGGTTAGTTTATAATGAAAAACAGGTCATAAAATTAATGAATATATAATTTTGGCTTGTGCTCTATGCTTCCATATAACTCTGTGACCTTCTGCTTTGAGGGCAGGGTGTATTAGAATTGTTTCATAACACTTCCAGTGATGAGTCATTTTACAGGAAGGACCTCATCCTGGAGATAATATCAGGTATCAATTTCAAGTGCTTCTAGAGGCAATACTACAGGGATAATGACTTATTCATTTCCTAAATGCCACAATCAGTATCTAAGCAAACAAACAAACTTAATATACCATACAGAAATGTTGAGTGTTCAACTGTACTCAGCTCGTTCTGCTCCCTACCATGCTATGATTTAATCACAGGTAAGGCTGCAATCCTTTGTACATCTACACAGAGGTCCATTGAGTTCGAAATCACTCACTTGTATTCCAGTTTGCATTTTTGATAACTCTGATTTGTTCTTTTATCATTCTTTTAACCTTTGTAACCACTGTATGTCAAAGGGTTATTCAGAAACCTCTTCTTAAAATTGACTGCAATTTGAATGCTTAAGCTAGTCAGTAAAATTCAATTATAAATTATCTACAGAATGACTGAATATCTGAGAGGGAGCTATAGCCTATGGCCCATGGACAGTACCTGAATGACCATAGGATCCTTCTGACTCCCAGATCCAAAGTCAGAGACAGTGGTGTGAACAGGGCAAGTCGGGGAGAGGGCAGAAAAAACTGCAGTAGTTTCTTCTCTGAGGTCAGGAGCATGACAAGAGAGGAAGAAGAGGGGTGTTTCAGAAACAGGGAAGGGGGACCAGAGAGGTTAAGATATAAGTTATTCTGGGGGCCCTCCAGTCTTGTTTCCTTCCCCACTGGAATATCGTCATGCATAGCCAAAAAGACTCACCTAGCAAAAATGCAAGATATGTGAATGGAGAGGATTGTCTCATCCTGCAGACGATAAGTAGATTCCTTTAAGGTAGGGTTCTTACAATCATTTCAAAGGGTTTGTACTCTGAAGAGCTGAGACCATCACACTGTCTGCTATTATCTGTCCTTATAAACATGCATTAGATTTTGGTTGTTGTTGTTGTTGTTGTTGTTGTTAGTCACGAAGTCGTGTCTGACCATCGCGACCCCATGGACAACATTCCTCCAGGCCTTCCTGTCCTCCACCATCCCCCGGAGTCCACTTAAGCTCACACCAACTGCTTCAATGACTCCATCTACCCACCTCATTCTCTGCTGTCCCCTTCTTCTTTTGCCATCTATTGTTCCCAGCATTAGGCTCTTCTCCAGGGAGTCCTTCCTTCTCATTAGGTGGCCAAAGTATTTGAGTTTCATCTTCACTATCTGGCCTGCTAAAGAGCAGTCAGGGTTGATCTCCTCTAGGACTGACTGGTTTGATCACCTTGCAGTCCAAGGAACTTGCAGGAGTCTCCTCCAGCACCACAATTCAAAGGCCTCAATCCTTCGGCGCTCAGCCTTCCTTATGGTCTAGCTTTCACAGCCATACATTGCAACTGGGAAAACCATAGCCTTGACTGTATGCACTTTTGTTTGCAGGGTGATGTCTCTGCTTTTTGCGGGGAGGAAAATCTTTTGCTGTCTAGATTTCCATAGCTTTCCTCCCCGAAAGCATCTTTTAATTTCTTGGCTGCAGTCACTGTCTTCGGTGATCTTGGAGCCCAGGAAAATAAAATCTGTCACTACCTCCATTTCTTCCCCATCTATTTGCCAGGAAGTGAGAGGACTGGATGCCATGGTCTTAGTTTTCTTAATGCTGAGTTTCAAGCCAACTTTTGTACTCTCCTCCTTTACCCGCATCAAGAGGCTCTTTAGTTCCTCTTCACTTTCTGCCATTAGAGTGGTATCATCTGCATATCTGAGGTTGTTGATATTTGTCCCAGCAATCTTAATTCCAACTGGTGATTCATCTAGCCCCGCCTTTCTCATGATGTGCTCTGCATATAAGTTAAATAGGCAGGGTGACAGTATGCAGCCTTGCTGAACTCCTTTCTCAATTTTGAACCGATCAATGGTTCCGTGTCTAGTTCTCACTGTTGCTTCCTTTTTATATGCTACTGGGCTGTCATACTCAGGATCCCAAATCTAGTTCTTTGACTTATGGAGTATCATAATAACAAAAAGCTAAATAATAAGCAGGGAAAACTGCGGAGGATCTGAAGTGATTGGAGGATATGTTGTTGTATAAATTAAGGATTTTTTTTGTATTACATTTTTATGGAAAGTTGATGGATAGATTCCGAGGGTGGATTGTACACACACACACACACACACACACACACACACGTGGAATATGTGTATGGAAGAATCACATTGTATGGGTATGCTTAGAGTACATCTATTGAAATCAGTGGATAAATTAGTCACTGCTAACTTAATTCCCATTAGTTTCAATGGGTCTACCCTAAGCATAACTAATTCTGAATTTAGGAGAGGTGGGAGACAAATGGAACACCAGCAAAATTCACAATCTCCCAATAATAAGGGACCACACTCAAGGTTCCTAGATAGAGACACCAAGCAACATTATCCATACAATAGTTCGATGTCATTTTCAGACCTTTCTGATTCCTTATTATAGCCGCTTTCACAGCCAGTGACAGAAAATATTCATTATAAATATTTATTTAGCAGAGTTAACTTTTCCATTGTAACAGGTTATTTCAAAATTTATGCTGAATATACATTACAACTATATTGAACAGAATATAATCTACATATTCAAGGAGAATTACAACTTCAGGCAATAAAAATGCTAAGATGAGGAATCCAATTTTTAGGATATGCACTGCTAACAAGTGAGCTTCAAGACAATTCTCTTTTTGGTCCTTGGCTTAATGTTTATAAAAATTTAATATGATTTCCATACTTTCTGTGCTACAGTGAACAAAAAGCTTTTTTATAGATATTAATGCTGTGACTTTTCACTAGCCAATATTGTGTAAACCTAGTTTTGCCTGACACGGATTTCATCTTTTGAAATTATCAATAGTTGTATTTTTCCCCCCTAAATTTCAGTCTATACAACATATTTTGACACTGTAAACTTTCTGGGTTTTTTCCAAATTCATGATTACAAGAGGAAAAGAGGAAAAGAATTAAGAACTGCTATTCAAAATACAAAATATTATATAAATTATTTCCAAAGGGAAATGAAGTATTTGTTGATTGAACAAAGGTAGAATTCCATTTGGTGCATACCCAGTCTTGTGTGAGATTCTTCTTGATTAACTCAGTTATTTCAAATCTCCTATGTAAAATTAGCTTGATGAAAAATGTTGCCCTAATGAGCACACATGTAATTATGACATTGGAAACATCAACAGTAACAGCCACTAAAAGAACATACCCAAATGCTTTCTTCTTGACGATATTGCTTCCAGTTCCTTCCACTGTCACTGAACATCAGGAGGTAGCTCGTTACCCAGTTGGAACTCCCATATCCACCTTGGGTAGCAACAGTAGTAATTTCAGTTCTCTCACCAAGATCAATCTGGAGCCACTGATATTTATTAGATATGAGTGGAGTCCAGCCACCAGCACCTTCAGTGAAAAACATAAAAGGGAAAACAGAAAGGAGAGATTAATTCACAGTGGAAACATGGAAATGCCAAGGTTGTGTGGAACAACAATGGGCCTTGATGAAACTGTAATTAAGCCAAACTGTAATTACACTCTGGAACATGGGCATATTTAAATGATCTTTCTTACACATATATAATTATATACCCATAAAGCAAGGTTAACATAATTGCTAAAATGCCAGAAGAAAGTTATTTTGGACACTGCAGCTAGGAAAATTCAGAACAATCATTACTAAAAGGTTCCTTGGCAATAGAAGCTCTGACCTCTAAGAATTTTGGCTTTGTTCTACAGTTAATTTAAAACCAAGTTGTCCTCAAGTTTCTCTGTGTCCTGAGAAGTCTGGATAGTTCTGAGGGAATTAACATAAGCCAAGACCACCAAATATTGCTTACAATTTGCTATTATTTTCTTTTTTGAGACTAATGTAAATCTTATGTTCCTTTCTCTGTCAACAATAATTTTAGTTTTGCTCATTGACACAATGGATAGGTTTAGATAATATAATAACCCATGCTCAAGGATTGAGTATGGGATAAGTGTGCGTTGTCACCATGGATTGTTGTTGAACCTAAGGTTACCATGTTGCCTGGACCCAGCTGAAATAAGAAATCATGCAGAGCAAAATGTGGTTCCCACATACCCCACCCAAAACTATGGATCCTCTTCTTGAGTTGTTCAAGATAAACAGCTCCTGGCTTGTTAGCACAGCTGGGCTAAGACAACAGAATAGCCCATATTTCAGGAAGAATCCATGGTTTAAGAACAACTCACACTTAACCCATATTCAGCACTGGAGCGTGGTGCCCATATTGTCTGTACCCAGTCAATGGCTGCATTTAAACAAAAAGCTAATCCTAAGCAATTTCAGTGTGAGTGAAAGGGAGCAATTAGGGCAAGCAGCTAAGCCTTTGAAGAGGCACTTCAACCATTTATAACTGGGGTGGAAAAAGGACAAAAGTCAAGGCTCCACCAAACAGGTGGTGGTCAAAGAAAGGGGTAGGACCAGGGGTAGAGTAGCACGCTCCTCTGGAAAACTGAAAATCAGGGTGATGTCTCAGGTGAGCTGGACTTCGCCCCTGATGTTCTGCATCCCTGGTGTGAATGCCTACAGCCTTAAGCAGGTGCATTAATGTGATGTAGGCTTCTTTAGAGATGCATTATTTCTATTGTACATGAAATATTAAATTCTTATTACTTTCCCAGTCATGTTCGTCTGTTGCAACAGAAAATAATCACCCATACATACACACAGAGACTCTAGCATAGCTCTGAGTGTGTATTCTAGTCCACTAATGCTTATGCTGTCATAAATTTGTTAGCCTTTAAGATGCCACAGTACACCTTGCTCTTATTGTGTTTATTACGGAATCCAAACTAAGAATCATTTCACCTTCTCCTTCCTTCTCAGTTGTAAGGTTGCCAGTAGTACCTGGGTCATACTGACAAGAGTTTTCTGTAATACAAATTGTACACATTTGCGGTAATACATTTGCTATTCATGCTGTGTTTCTAGACCTTGATAAAAAGTCCCACAGACTTCATTACTGGCAATGGTAGACAGCGTACCAAGGGTGTCTGATGCTAATTCTCCTTCCATAGTGAGTACGTGAAGTCACCTCTGTCATCATGTAGAGAGCATTGGCTAAATCGGGGTGACTGAGTTGTACAGAAATTAATGAAAGATCTGTAGAGGTTTACATAATTGTTTAATCAATAAACACAGTCTAAACAATGAATAGCTTTCATATGGCTATCGATAACACCTCTAGGTCAGATGCTGACAAATGACATAGCCACAGTTTATTCTCAGTGGTTATTAGCCTCAGTCAACAACTTGCAAAAGGTGATCACTTGATACTTTATATGCTTATAACCCATCCCTTCTTCAAGAGGTTTGGTTCAGAATTATTTGGTTTGGGGTTACTCTACTTCCTATTTTTCTTCTCTTCAAAAGTCCTCTGTGAGTTAAGTCCAACTGTGAAATGGCCACCAGCCCCAAAACACCAACCAACTATCCTCATTCTTGAGAAAAGAAAAATCAAGCTTGTGACAAGTGTCTGAAGGTACGTTCTTGGAAATATATTTATTTAAATGCCATGCAAAGCTCTCCATATTCTCTATGGTAGGAAGGGTGGCAACAGGAGGAAGGGGTGGGAAGATCTCGGTAGGAGATGGAGGGAAGGATGTGATATGGAACTGGCTGATTACATGGTATTCATACATATGCTTGTTTTTACTATGCTCACAGTACCATGCTATTCCTTTCTGGGATTTGACTGAAATGTAAGAATAAAAGAAAAGCCTTGTTGGATCAGACAAGTTCTCCATCCAGCCCAGAACTTTGTCAAACCAGCTGCTCATAGGATCCCTCAAACAGGATGGGTACAAGAGTTCCACCTGCCCAAGCTCCTCAGCATCCCATGGACACAGATATCCCCACCTCTGGAAAGAGCCATACCACACAGCCAGCAACATCAGTCCTGACTTCATAGTCATTGTTGCAGGCACTCCTGCTGACCAGTATCTCTTTTTTAGGAGGAAGGGAAGGGGGAACAATATGGGCAGAGTTCACTGTGGAGGAAAAGGAAAATTTCCTGGATTGTTAGGACAATACATACATGACACACCATTTTTCCAGTGCTCTGTGCATCTCAGAACAGTGGGAAAAGACAGGGCACACTGCCCCATTGCCAATGCTAAGAGCCCTGAGAAAACTGGGGAAGTGGCAGATTGCTTCTAAGATGCCTGAATATGCAGAAATGAGAGATCTAACATAAAAATTGCTGCTCTGTTTGGAGGACTTTTAAAAATTTCATTACACTATACTCTCAAGAATACCAGTGCTGCTATGTTACTGCTGTATTAGCTCCAAGCTTCATGTGGGTCATTTCCCCTCCTAAGCTAGACTGCATAAAAACAACATATTTATTGATACATTAATTAACAGTTCTCATTCCTAAAAGCCAAGCAAAATGAGAAACCAGTGGCATAAAGACATCTAACTCCTTTCTCCCTCATGCTCGTGCTTCCATCTGTCATGGTCACCCTTGGAAGCCAACTGACCAATCCCAGCTCAGCAGAGCAGCCCATCATTGTGATGCTTGCCTGTCAGTGCAGCCAATCTCAGCATAGATATAATTTCCTGAACTTTGATACAAACACAAGCAGCCCATTTCATCAGTTTCCACTTTCTTGGATCGTTTCTATCTGAAAGCAGTCATAGAAGAAACAAGTTTAAGTTTCGGCGATGGTTGGTGGGGATTTTGTAACCCCGCCCCATTATTCTGTAATAGTTCTGATCATATCTACATATTTTGTTAGTAATAACTAGTTAGTGGAAGGGAGCATATAGGACTTTTTGTTACATTTCCTGATACTGAGGTGAAAAAATGAATATCCACATATGAGTACACATTAAATTTTATGTGTGTGCACACTCACGTGCGTGCACACACACACACACACACACAAAGGAAAGTTTCTTTTAGGCCTCATCAGCTCCACAAAGTAATGAATACAGGAAGGACCAGAAATGGCATTTTAAAACCAAATGATGAAATGGAGGCAAAATCAATAATGATTTTCTACTTCTTGGTACTCTACTGTAAATGACAATCTTTAGATTCAGGGCAAGTCATGATAAAGTCTTTTCATTTCATGCAAGAAGGTATAAAATGAAAATGTATCCAAGTTCTTCCCCACAGAAAAGTCTTGTTTCAACTTTCATGCTGATCTTGATCAGATTCTCCTCAAGAAAATCCCCAGAGGCCATGCCATGGATTTTCATGATAATGCAATTTGCAGAGCGTCCTGTGAATCAGCTACACAAAAGTCATAGGGTTGCATGCTTATCATTTCCCCCAAAGACTGTAGATGAAAGTGACCCAAACCTACCTACGGATAATTCAAAATCAATGTACAAGTGCCTAAATTAAAGGTGCTTGCTCATGCAGAATAGATTGAGCACTGCAGCATCAGCATCTTCCAGGTCAATCAGTGGAACATTATAAGGAGCTTTCTTAAATCAGAAGCATAGCATAGTTCATTCAGGCAGGATAAAACATCTAGTCACCTCATAAAAAACAATAAAATCTGCAACTTTGTCTGTCTTGCATTTGAAAAATTAGATAAGACAAAATAATCAGACACTGATCAGGTTTGCATGATCACTGCAGCTCTCCATGAGTTATTTAAGCCAAGGTTAGCAGTACTGTGTCCTGGCTAATCTTTGGAATTTTTAAGTTATGCAGAATAGATGCCTTGACTTATCAGAGCATGTGAGCCCAGCAAGGGTAGTTTACACAAGGGTTAAACAATCTTTGTCTAACCCTAAAGCACCCCATGGATTTTGCTATGTTTAACCCTTGCCTAAGCCACCATGCCAAGTTCACATGATACAATAAGCTATGATGACAACCCACCAGGGCTTGAGGATTCAAAATGGCCTCCAGTACCCTGCATCCCTAGTGTGGCCTACATAAGCCTTGATGAGTTGCAGCAGTCATGCAGATGGGGCCATGTTATGCTGAAAGCATGGAACTCACATGTCACTGGACGGTGGCAGAATCATGCTATCACATACAAACTGAAGGGCAGGGGTCTGAACTCTTTCTGTCCATGGCTCACACAGTTCTGTCCTGTGATGTAATTCACATTTCCCTCAGTTGTGATGTCAGAAGTGAGCCTAAAAATGCTTGCAGCAGAGCTGGCAGTAATCAACAAAGTGAAGAGGGCCTTGAGGACTTTTGTACCCACAAGCCCCTTCTGACATTAAATTTGGACCTCTTCTGCTTTTTATGTGATTTGTTTATAACACCATCAGAGATTTATATGACTAAGATTTTGTGGTAAAAATTATTTCAGGATTCTTTGCACTTGTAGAGTAAACCTAAATTTCTTGAAATATTAAGCGGCAAATGTTGATCCACAAAGCAAATTAATCACGATGTTGCAACAGA